TATCATATGCATATGATACAGTATTGATTGATTCACTGTTAGGTAAAAAAGCAAGTCCTCACTCACCTCTCCAGCACCCGAGTTCGTGCGGAGTTGGTATGGGGCTCACAATTTGACAGAGACCAGACACCAATTCGTTGATCAACGGGCTCACACTATCCTTAGCTTGAAAGGCTTCAGAGTAAGTGTGGCAAGTTTATTAGGGGTGAGCATCAATATTTATACACAGAAGTAAACAAAGTGATTAACAGATCATAATGGTCATGCATAATTAATCAAGATTCTACAGGATAAAACAGGTTAAAATGTAAATTCAGAAAGAGAAAAGGGGAGATGGCTACTTAAGGGGAGGGGGGTGTCATGAGTAGTTCGCAGGTCAGAGCTTTGGTTAAAAGTTCAGACAGAGACATCAAGTCTGGGTTAAGTTTAAGCTCATCAAAAGTTCAGACTCAACAAGTGTGCTGTCTGCCAGGAGTTAAGATACAGAATGTGGACCTGAGGCTCAAAAGGATTCTAATGGGAGCAGTAAAGAATTAACTGATTGTCCTTCACGTGAGGAACAAATGATACTGCTAGATTCTCACTGAAATGCACCAAAGGAGACTATGCCAAGCTGGGGAAGACACTTAAAGAAATGGAGGCTCAGGTGATCTTCAGTGGGATTCTGCCTGGCCCTAGAGGAGGAGAGTGAAGGCAAGACAAGATTATGATGATCAACAGATGGCTCAGGCAGTGGTGCTACAAGGAGGGCTTTGGGATATTTCATGACTGGGATGCATTCACGGACAGAGGACTGTTCTCATGGGATGGGCTCCACCTGAATAGGGAGGGAAATAGACTGCTGGGGTGGAGGATGGCACAACTGATTAAAAGAGCTTTAAACTAGGAACTCGGGGGGAGATTGCTGGGAGATGCTCATGTAATCCTCATGCCTTATTCTAACATTGACCGGCAGGAAAGTCAAGAGAGAATACTCCAATGGAGAAAGGAAGAGCAGTATGTAGGAGAATGGACAATAAGAGGAAAGATAGTGCCAATACCAATGAAGCTAAAGTCAAGTAAGCAATACTGTAAGTAGAATAACTGTACTCAATCGGGTGAGGAATCTGAGTGAAGCCAAGCAGCAACAGTTAAGATGTTTGTACACCAATGCAAGGAGCCTCGGTAACAAAATAGAGGAACTAGAACTACCAGTGCAGGAAGTGAAACCAGATATTATAGGGTTAACAGAAACATGATGGAATAGTAGCCATGAGTGGAGTACAGGAACTGAAGGGTACGTGCTGTTCAGAAAAGACAGAAATAAAGTCAAAGGTGGTGGAGTAGAATCGTATATTAATAAGGAGTTAAATTGTAAAGAAATCAGAAGTGATGGAATGGATAAAACAGAGTCTGTTTGGATCAAAATCACTTTGGAGAAGAAAGCTACCAGAGGCTCCCCTGGATAGTGCTTGGGGTATGCTAGAGACCCCCTCCCCCCACACATCTGATTTGGATATGGATAGAGACCTTTTTATGATTATGGGAGACTAACTTCCCAGATATCGATTGGAGGACAAGTGCTACTAATAATAGTAGGGCCCAGATTTTCCTGGATGTGATAGCTGACAGATTTCTTCACCAAATAGCCACCAAACCAAAAGAGCTGATGCTATTTTAGATTTGGCATTCATGAGTGGTGAGGACCTCTTAGAACAGCTAATTGTAGGAGACAACCTTGGTTCAAATGATCATGAGCTAATTCAGTTTAAACTAAATGGAAAGATAAAAAATAGATCTGCAATTAGGGTTCTTAATTTCAAAAGAGCAAATTAAAAAAAGTAAGGGAATTAGGGAACTGGACTAGACTGAGGAACTCAAGGATCTGACTGTGGAGGAGGCTTGGAATTACTTTAAGTCAAAGTTGCAGAAACTATCTGAAGCCTGAATCTCAAGCAAGTGGAAACATTTGTAGGGAAGGGTTACAGACCAAGTTGGATGAGCAAGCATCTCAAACTATTAAGAGAAAGCAAAAAACCAACAAGGAATGGAAGATGGGATGGATCAGAGTGACACTCTGTGCCTCAAATTAGCACCATGGACCCCTCATATTCACTATTATCATATGATTATGGTTTGTTTTGTAAAAAATATGTCTTGTGAAGTATCATTTTAAAAGTGTCGATCTGTTGGACCTTAATGTGCTGTGGATTTTATGTACTATCATTGTATGTGAAGTTATGAAGTATTGCTATACATGTTACTGAAATACGTTATGAGGTTGAGAGATGCCCACAGCTGGACTTTCAGTAGGGACAAAGAAGCCGCCATCACTAGCCAGACAGGTGTTAATGGCTCATCAACACCCAGCCTTCTATCTCAGAGACTTCTTGGAGAAGGCACGTATGCAATGGGGCAGCCTAACTCACATCACAGCAAGGATCTTTCTAGCTTCTAGAAGGAAGCATAAAAGAGAGATAGTGACATCATCTCTTGGCCTCTCTCCCTGCCACCTCCATCTCAACACCTGGAAGATCGCCTGGAAGAGAAAGATTTTAAACTATGGAGATTGGTCCCAGGCTGGAAGGGTGTCCATCCGTGTATTAAGGAACTGTAAGCTACCTGTAAGATCTGTTAGGGTGAGAGACAACTTGATTCAAATCTTACTTAGTCTTTTAAAGTTAAAATTTAGACTGCATTTCTATATTTATTACTTAGGTAACCAACTTTGATTTCTATGCCTGCTACTTATAATCACTTAAAATCTTAGTTAGCCTTTTTTGCGTCTCCATCACATTGTTGACTCATAGTTAAGGCTAAGATTTTGATATGGGTATTTTTAATAAAAGTCCCGGGCAGGATGTGGGCAATAAACAATAAATCATGGAAGCCCAAGCCCCGCTATATGGGGCTGGAGCCTGAGCTCCACCTCCCAGGGCCGAAGCCTTAGCTCTGCCGCCCGGAGCTGAATCATAATTTTCAGGAAGTCACGGAGGTCCCGTAAAATCATGGAATCCATGACCTCCATGACTGACTCGTAGCCTTATTCATATTCAATCGATGATCCACTGTACGCCCTGGATCCTTTTCAGCAGTGTTACCACCTAATCATTTATTTGCCATTTTGTAGCTGTGCGTTTGATTTTTCCTTCCTTAGTGAAGTGCTTTGAACCTGTCTTCA